TTTCTAATAAAACTTTTTAGAAACATAACAAAACTTTACCAAAATTTTTTGGTATATACTTTAAAGTCTCTTATTTATATTAGTAAAATTTTACATCATGTATTATTTAAAAATATTCATGTTTATATATAGATAAAAAAAGTTAGCCAACCTAAAATTTTGTTAAGTCACACAAGAATTGCTAGTGTGATTGGTTAAATCTGGGGTGTTTACAATTCTGATTGGTCAATCACATGATTTTATATGATTTACTACATGATTACTATGAAAATTGATCTGCAGACACCCTACCTTTAAAGTTGATAAGATGATTTGTGATTAGCATTAATCATGACTAATAATATTAATCAACATAATTTAAGAACTATCGGAATCATAAAACATATTAGTTGACATCATTATTAATTAAGAAAACTTAAGATGCGATCATTAGTCAAATGTAAATAAAAATAGTTTCATAATTGAATGATAAATATATTAACTCTGTTTTTCTCTTTTGCAATAGCACAGTTAAAAAGAATGATGTCAAAACAATAAAAAATAAAAAATAAATTATCAGAAGTTTGTTAAACCTTATATAAGAAGCTACTAAGAGGGAAGTTAAAGAAATATTTTTCAATAAACCATTGTGCTTAGCAACTATTTTCTTAAGTGATAGCACTAATAATACTGAAAATTTGGGTGTATATAGAGTGGTTCTAATTTCTGATGAAAATTATCAAAGAATAATTGCTGATCTAGATAATACAAATGGGAAAGAACCTATTACTATTGAAGATGTAATCGATGTTAAAATCTTGTCACAGATTATAATAAAATTGATATTCTTCTTGCTAGCCTATTTTACATTATAGAATGTTTCATTTTAATCTGATTTTGCAATACTTTTAAATAAAACTTAGGATTTAGATAGTGATCTATCATTACAAGTCGATGAGACAAATGAAAATGATATATTAAATTTGGAAAAAAACCAATGAACTGAAGATAATCATATAAATGATTATTTTAAAACTTCAAAAAGAAAGATGAACAGTAAAGTAAGAGATTTCAAAAGTTGTCAATTAAAGAATACATAAATGGTTAAATATTTAATTACTTTTTTTTTTTTAATAAGAATGAGGTAGCAAAATGTTTTCGATATGAAATTATAAAAGTAATTAATTATTAATAATCATCGAAAAATCTCAGCAAAGTAAAAATTTCAGAAATAACTTTGAAAATAATGAGGAAACTGATAAATTACCTATGTTAATCAATGTTACTGTAAATACTTCTTAAGCTAATAGCACACTCAATAATAAACATGTTAATGATAATTAGATAAGAAAGTTTTCTGTGACTAAGTTAACCTGTAAATCTAATTTATTATTAACAAATTATAAACTTAGCCTGTTGAAAATAGCAAAGTAACAGACATCTCCAAATCTATTCAAGATAATGATCATGTAAGAAATCTTCCTAACTAATTAATAAATCAAAAAAACTTAATAATATAAATTATTGTCAATAGAAAGACTACTTTGCTAGTAATAACGATTCACCAAAATGGTTAGAATGTGATAATTGCTATGGAAATAAAAAGAAATTTTGTAAATTCTGTGGCTGTTCTGTATGCGATTGAAAAGGTGACAGAGGTTACATCCTCTTGTGTAATGGTTCTTGTGGCAAAAATTTTTATACCAGATGTCTAAAACTAGTGTTCCGCAGAACTAAACTGAAGAACCGGAACTGAACCGGAACCGAGCACCGGTTCGGTTCCGGGTACATCATTTTTAGAATAATTCGGTTCCGGGTCTCGATTCATACCCGAACTGTAATACCCGAATATCGTGTAACAAAAAAAATCTATAAAAGAAAAAAATTTTTTTTTGGATATATAAAAGAATTCTATAAAAGCTTTGTAAGCTTTGTGAAAAGTAGTCTTGACGCAAACCTTTTTTTTCTTTCAACTATACCATGCCACACCTAATAAAAAAAAAAGTGTGTATTAACTTTTTGATGGGAATTAATTGGTTGCACATGGTACGTTAGTACCGGGTAGGATATAGCAAGGGTAAGACATATTAGAAAAGATTGTGAGATAACGTAGTGTAATTTTGAAGCTAAATATTACAGACTATATACAATGTAATATCGAAGTCTATTGTATTAGATCAGTGATGTAATCACACATGAGAAATAAATAAATAAGAGGATTGAACCCACACTTTGATTTTACTTAAATAACAACATACCTGTGTCTTGTCATAACGTAGTCAAACTTTGTGTGAAGAAAGTTACGAAGTCGTAGTTTAAAGGTGTTGTCAGATGTTAAAGTAAAAGAAGAAAAGTTGAGAACGTAAATAAGTGCTTGTGCACGTTTGAATTCTGAGCGGATTTTGAGTACTTAGTTATTTGATTAACCCCATGGCACTTTTTTCTTGTGAATTAACTTGGTGTTCATATATAAACGTGAATTAAGTAAGTAAACTTGGTTAATAAGACCTGTAACATTCGTAGCATTTTAAATTTGAAAGACAATTAAATTTATTTTTTATATAAGTTGTTATGTCAGTCTCACCTACACCATCATCACCATCATATGAGCCTGAGGATAATGAAATAACATTCTTGGACGAAACTGAGGCTATATAGCCAACATCCACTCTAGAGTCAGAACTTGTTACTACAACAAATAATGGGTCATTTGTATGAAGATACTTTGTGAAGCAAAAGCCGAATAATGAGAAGAATGTGGAGTTATTAAAGAATGAGGTGTTATTAAAGAATGAGGTGTTTGTCAAATGTAAAATTTGTAATAATATGCAGATGATGGTTCAACCTCAAATCTCAGGAAACATTTTAAGCTTTGCACTCATATAAATAAAGTGTCAGAATTAGATAATAATAATAAGAAGCGATCTACTTCAGTATTGGACATGTTAAAAAATAACCAGCAAGTTAATCAGCGTGAAGAGTTTGATCAAGAAAAACTCAGTAATATGATTAAGCAATGGATTATTATGCACAATCGACTGTTTTATCTAATTGAAGATGATGGACTTAAAGACATAATTTTGTATTTAGAGCCTCAAGCAAAAGGTATAATATTTATATTATATGTTATTATTATTATTTGG